AAAATTATAAAAGATTTTATAAAAGGAATTGATAAGATAAGAAGTTGGTTGAAAAAAGAAAGAAGAGGAATTAAAAAGGGGGGGGAGAGAATGTGATCAGGCAGGAGACTAGCACAAAGCCATACACTAGAGACTTAGGGTATATTTTGGTCTGGTAGAAGAAACTGTATCCCAAAGTTTTAAAGAGAGAACAACTTATTTATATGCCAAAACTAAGGTTAAATACTATGAAGGGATAGAATTTGACTCTAAAAATGAAATATAAAAAAGATTTTTAAAAAAGGGATTGATAAGATGTTGGTTGACAAAGGGAAAAAGAAAAGTTCAAAAAAAAAAAAAGAAAATTTTAAAAATTAACTTTGAAATACTAAAGAATAATGGGGAAAAAAGCCATGAATGCTATGTGCTGTATTCCCCTAGTGCTGGAGTTCTGCGGTTCTCATTGATTGGTAAACCTGGTCTTGGCTGGCTGTTCTTGCTGAACTTCTGGGGGAGGGGCCTGTTGCTATGGTTCCCAAATGTCTTTGCGGGAGGTGGAATTGCCCCGCCCTTGCCAGGCTAGACTAAGTAATCTGCTTGGGGTTTGCTCTCAGGAGCTTTTGTTCCCTGAAAGCTTTCCGTACAGCTTTGGAGGATGCGAGTCAAAATGGTGGCCTCCCAATCTCTGCCCGAGAGGAGCCGAGAACTCGGGGCCCCACTCCTCAGTGCGCCCCCAGAGGAAAACAGTCAGTCACTCCCGTCTCCCAGGCCTTCGGCCACACTCTGTGCTCACCTGGCCTGTGACCGAGCGTCTTTATCTCCGGCACCTGACCCCGTGTGGAGTCTCCAAACCCAGCTGATTCCTGCAGTGAGATCTCACGCCACTTCTCCAGGGGGAGGAAGGGGAGTGTCCCCAGATCTGTCACTTGTTGGGTCCCTGCTGGAAGAGCAGTGGCCCGACTGTGCTGCGGATCACGATTTATGGCAACCCCGAGCTGAGAACCCACTCCTCGGCTCCGTCTCTGCAGCTGGCTTCCCCACTCTGATACCTGGGAGCTCTGCCGCATTCAGGCACCCCCGGTCTTCCTGTGACCCTGAGGGTCCCGAGACCAGAGTGTCTCAGAGAGGGTTCCACCCCCTGCTTAGCCACTGGAGCGACATCCCTCAGGGGAGCAGACTTCTAAAAGTTCTGATTTTGTGCTCTGCTGCTCTATCACTTGCCGGTAGCCGGTGACGGAGGCTCCCTCCCCCCGCGGTCTATCTTCCCAAATATCGCCTTGGATTCACTTCTCCGCACGTCCTACCTTCCAGAAAGCGGTCGCTTTTCTGTTCAGAGAGTTGCTGCTATTCTTTTCTTCCATCTCCTGTTGAGTTTGTAGGTGTTCAGAAAGGTTTGATCCCTATCTAGCTGAATTCCTGGGACCAGATGAAATTTAGGTCTCCTACTCCTCCGCCATCTTGCTCCTCCCCCCCAGCAACTTTTTATATGCTTCTTGTCTATTTCATAACTTCTTCAGATGTGTGTTCAAATTCTTGCTCATTTATAGTTCAGTCATTGCTCTGTTTGTTTTTGGGTTGTAAGAGTTCTCTGTATCTTCTAGATAAAAGTCCCTTATCAGATAATATGACTCGCAAATTTTTCCCCCATTCTGTAGGCGTCTTTTCACTTTCTTCATAGTGTTCTTTGTAGCATGAAATTTTTAATTTTGATGATGTACAATGTATGTATTTTTTTCCTCTTATTGTTTGTGATTTTAGTGTCATATTTAAGAATTTATTGTAAAATCTGAGGTCATTGACTTGTCCCAGCACCATTTATTGACAAGACCATTTTTATTCCATTGAATGGTATTGGAAGCCTCAAAATTCAGTTGACTGTAAACACATGGGTATAATTTTGGACTCCAAATTCAATTCCATTGATCTTTGTGTCTCTCCTTATGCCTGGACCACAATGTCTTGATCATTATAGCTTTGTGGTAAGTTTTGAAACTGGAAGTTGGAGTTCTACAATTTTATTCTTTTTTCTTTCAAGATTGTTTGGCCATTCTGGGTCCCTTACGATTCCATATGAATTTTAAATTCAGCATGTCAATTTCTACAAAGAAGCCTGCTAGAATTCGGATAGGGAATGCATTAATCTGTAGATCAGCTTGAGGAGTATTGCCATCTTGACAATATTAAGTTCTAATCCATGACCATTAGATGTTTTTCCATTTACATAGATCTTCGTTAATTTATTTCAAAAATATTTGTGGTTTTCAGAGTATAGCACTTCTTTTATTAAAGCTATTCCAAATTTCCCAGTTAAACCATTTGGCTCTCAGCTTACATTTATGGAGAGATACCAATAAATACATTTCCTTGTTATAAGAAAAAGCTACTCCTAAGTATTCTGTTCTTCTTGATGCTTTGTAAAGGACTATATTCCTAATTTCACTTTTGGATTTTTTATTGCAGTGTATGAAATGCAATTGATTTTGTATGTTGATCTTGTATCCTGAAACCCTGCTAAACTGGTTTATTAGTTCCAATAGACTTCTGTTGAATTCCTTTGGATTTTCTACGTACAACATTTTTTGCTCTGATAATAGAGATGCTTTTACTTCTTTATTTCCTCTATGAATAACTTTTTTTCTTCTTTCTTTCTTACCCTTTTTTTTTTTTGCATACATTTCCTGGCTAGAACTTCTAGTACAGTGTTGAATAGAAGTGGTGATAGAGACATCCTTGTTTTGTTTAATCTTAGGGGAAAGTGTCCAGTCTATATCCATGAAGTGTGGTGTTAGCTATGAGTTTTTCATAGATGCCCTTTATCAGGTTGAGGATGTTCCTTTCTGTTCCTAGCTTGTTGAGTGCTTTTATTGTTAAATGGTGTTGGATTTTTGTCAAATACTTTCTCTGCCTGTATTGAGATGACCTTGTGTTTTTAAAAAGTTTTGTTGTTATATTGTATTATATGACCTGGAGTTGCTGGGATAAACCCCTCTTGGTTATGGTATAACCTTCTTTTGATATGTTGCTGGGTTCAGTTTGCCAGTATTTTGTTGAGGATTTGTACATCCGTGTCATAAGATACATTGGTCTGTAGTTTTCTTGTTCTGTGATATCATTGCCTGGTTTTAGTATCAAGGTAACCCTGGCCAGGTAGAATGAGTTTGGAAGTGTTCCTACCTCTTCTATTTTTTGGAAAAACTTGTGCAAAATTGGTGTTGACTGCACTTTAAATATTTGCTAGAACTCACCTGTGAAACCATCTGGAGCTGAGCTTCTTTTTGTCAGTAGTTTCTTCACTACTAACTCAGTCTTTTTATTTGTCTTTCAGATTGCCTGTGTTTTTTGTATGTCACTTTCTAGTTTATCTTTTTCTATGAATTTTTCCATTTCATCTAATTTATTGGCATTCAATTGTTCATAGTATTCCTGTAGTCCTTTTTATTTTTGTAATGTCTGCAGTAATCTCCTCTTTCACTTCTGATGATAGTAATTGGAATCTCTTCTCCTTTATGCTTGGTCAGTCTAGATAAAGGTCTTTTGAAAGAATCAGCTTTGCTTTGTTTGAATTTTCTCTTGTTTTTATTCTCTATTTCCTAAGTTTCTGCTCTTGTCTGTATTATGTGCTTCATCCTGTTTGCTTTTGGTTTAGTGTGCTCTTGTATTTTCAGCATGTTTTTGAAAGAAAACTGGGTGATTGATTTGAAATCTTGAGTTCTTTTTAAAGGTAGGCATATATAGTAATAAATTTCTTCCTGGGGGCGCTTGGGTGGCTCAGTTGTTGAGCGTCTGCCTTCGGCTCAGGTCATGATCCCAGGGTCCTGGGATCGAGCCCAGCATCGGGCTCCCTGCTCAGCAGGAAACCTGTTTCTCCCTCTCCCACTCCCCCTGCTTGTGTTCCTTCTCTAACTGTGTCTCTCTCTGTCAAATAAATAAAATCTTTAAAACAAATTTTCTTCCTGGTCATTGCTTTTGCTACATCCCATGAGTTTTGCTATGTGGATTCTTCATTTCTGTATTCTCCAGGTAACTCTAAATGCCCTTTTGATTTCTTCTTTGCCGACTGGCTGTAATAGGAGTGTATGATGTAATTTCCACAGATTCATGGGTTTCCATGTTGTTTGTATTCTTGTTTTCTAATTTTATTCCATTGTAGTTGAAGGGCATACTATGTATTATTTCCATCCTGACACAATTTCTTAAAAAGAGTGATTAATTAAAGTAGCATGTTATGGTCTGGTGTTTCCAAAGAGGCTCTAGTCCAAAAATAAAAGGCTAAGAGATCCAGGAATGCAATCCTATTCCTTTGGTCACTCCAAAGATGTGGCAGGAGACACTGATCTGACTGTTCTAGTGGTGGCCCATATGTGTGACTTGCTCTGGCTCAGCCATTGGCTTGAAAGTTCAAGTAAAGGTCATAGAGGGAATAACCTGATATGAATGAATCCTGGTGTCTTTTAATCCTCAGATTAGTAGACCAAATTATAATTGCTCCAGGGCAATTTTGCATTTTCACTGATATTTCCATTGTTTTTTTTCCTTATAGTACTGTTTCCATTCCTTACCCCAGTTTGTGAAAAATTAAATATCTCACTATTTCCAAAAACTGTTACTGATTTTTTCATGAAATCTGTAAAAAGGATGAAGGAAAGTCGCCTCAAAGATAAACAAAAGGTAAATCTGGTGGTGGTTACATGTGCATGTTCACTTTTGATCTTTTATTGAGCTGTATTCATCTGATGTGCACACTACTAAGTATGTTTTTACAGTAGGTGGAAAACTATAGGGTTTAGAGCAGGAGACTTCTAACATTTTAGGGAGAATGAGGAAGGTGGCAGTCAGGGAAGGAGATAAGAAGATGAGTCAGAGAGACAATGTTTAAAATTTAAGAATAAGCATGCCAACGAGTATGTCAGTGCATAAACTTTGGTGAGAGAAAAACTACCACTTACGTTCAGTAAATTGTCAAAGCATAAAAATTACTGTGTACAATCATTTTCCTGGTAGTATGATTTTGCCAGATCTTACATTGGCAAAGGATCCCTTCAATTCTAAGCCTTGTTTCTTACACATTCTCTAGTAGAAGATCCCCTCAGGCACCTAGTTATGTTAAATTTGAGGATATCATAGTGTGGAGTGAGCAGGTGTCTTCTTTGGGCACTGAGGCTGCAAGCTGGCTGAGTAGGCTTTGCCTTCCTGAGGCCTGGCGGCCAGCACTAGGATGGATGTAGGACAGGAAGACAGGGCTGTTACTCCAGGATGTCTCTGAAGATTGTGCAGAGTTCTGGGAGGGTGGGGCATTGGAAGATGTTGACATGGAAGCTGCCCATGGACTCTGCAGAGGTCAGGGGATTGGTCTATGTGGCCATTCATTAAGAATTAAAGCTGGAAAAACAAAAGGACTGAAGTCAGACACTTTCTCCTGAGCTGGTAGGTATGACAGGAGAGGGAGCAGGCAACTCTTCGACCAGGAAGCTGTGTTCAAAACCAGAGAAGTTGAGGATCAGAGAGAGCAAGAACCAAAGAGCAATGAGACATAATGGCTGGATTCCTGTCAGGGAAATATTGTGCTCTCCAAGATTTGTAGCTGGATGTAATCAAGACAGTATGGCACTGGCACAAAACAGATGCATAGATCAATGGAGCAGAATAGAGAGCCCAGATATGGACCCTCAACTCTATGGTCATCTAATCTTCAACAAAGCAGGAAAGAATGTCCAATGGAAAAAAGAC